GCTGTCCAGTTACAATACCCTTGCTCCCCTATCCCTTTAGAAAAAAAAACTCCAGGGGTGTTCAAACTTGACAGCTTTAAGACTTGTGGACTTCAACTCCCAGAATTCCTCCTCTCGCTCTTCATCTTGATGATGTTCAGACGGGTGGGGTGAGGGAGCTGGAACTGGTTCTAAACGGCACTGTAGATTTGTGGAATCTCTTCTATAGGAACCTGGAAGAAACCCACTCATGGTCTGATATATGTTTTAAATAAATAGATATCTAAGGGCAATGAATACACAAGGTAGAAATGACCAAAGAATGCAGCAATGATGTACTTGCAATAGCCTTGTGAAGAAGGAAAGAGGAGTCATACTTGACCCAAGATATTTGTCCCAAGTAAAAATTGTTAAATGAATTCATATTATTAGGAATAAAAACAAAGTCTAGCCATTTTTGCCTATTATAAAACTAGAGAAATTGGAAACAATGCAGTTGAATTCAGTAGGGAGAAATCATGTTACTGCCATCACAGAATTCACTTTTAAGACTGCAACACATCAGGTATTCTTTCTACTTGTCACAATGGATTAAAATTTATATTCTTGCATACCTTTAATCTAAGAAATGCTTTAATCTGGGGCAGCAGTATCAAATGACCTCCCCTTTCTTTGAGATGAGATATAATTTTCACTCACCTCTCTTTCTCCTCCCAATAATTTCACTGCTTTATTAACTTCATAATAACCCAAACAATATTCAGTATATATATACTCCTAACACACATTGAATTAAAAGAGATTAAAATAATCATAAAAGCACATGCAGGGATGAAGGCCCTCATTTAGACATTACAAGGCACATATTTATTTCTGGACTAGTATCTGACTAATGCTTGATATTCCACTAGGTGTCACTAATATCCAATAGGGCCTTCAGGTATCCCTATTTTTAAACTATAGCTTGCACTTTTAAGATTTTGTTTTTTGCTATTTAGTGGCTACCTTTTTTTAAAAAAAATCATGAATTCTACTAGAGTAAGTGGAATGTTGATATTAAACTTAGCAATTTTGTAACTGCATGGATTGGAATGTAGGTATTAATATATTTAATATAAACATAAACACTGTCATCCCATAGTTTATTACAGAATAAATGAATCAAATTACCCAGACTGAAAAGTAAGAAACCACTAAAACTACAAAATTAAAAACTACAGCAACTCAATATAATTCATGGTTGGGTTTCCCTTGTGTGTGCTTTTCATCCAAACAAGGATTAAATGGAATTTTTTAAAAAAATGTTTGCCCTTTAATTAGAGGATATAATCCCAAGAATGCCTTTATTTCTTCTCTTGCCATATCAATTCTTTTAACAAAGAAACCTAGAGTGATCCACTTGGAACATAAGACTATTCCCTTGGCAGCACAGTGTTAATGAGATCTGAGGGAGAATTTCACTATTGACTTTCAAAATGTGTGGAATAGTAATAATATCAAACTTTTTACTCTAAAGGAGTAAACAACAGTATCAAGCATAAGCCATCAGACACAAACCTTTTTTAAAAAAAACCAAAAAATCTGAATAGATTAAGCATCACATATATTCTCTTCAAACCTCTGTATACACAGAGAAAAATAAGTGTGTTTTTTCTACAATTAATGAGACATTTTTGCTTCAACAAATTTGGAATAGGGCAGACAGGAATCATCTGTTTTTCATGAGAATCATCCATAAGTAGAGTATGAGTAATATCACTTGAAGAAATACAATTGTTGAGCCCAGAACAAGTCCAGGATGCTATTCTATAAACTGTTCTCACTGGTCAAGTTGACTGGAAGCTTCTGAGTGTGGTAATTTTGCAACATCTGGAAGACCACAAATTGTTCTACCTTAAACCAGTCTGTCTTGACTCTTGTAATCGCCAGTGTGAAAATCAGATTATATACTGAGATTCAGATGGAATTCTCTTTCCCACATTTTCTGCATAACCAGTATCTCCCAACCTTTCATTTGCCTTTATAGTGTAAATCCTGTATGCCTACTTTGGAGTAGGCATACTCCAAGTTTAATGTGAACTGAAGAAGCTTCTTGGATGGGAATCGAAATGTCTTCAAGGAAAAATAAGAAAGTCCAGTTGCCTCTTGAAAAAGCACCTTTGGGACAACCATGACCTGGATATCTGAGAATCTCCATAGACAAGTTTAATAAGAATTGTCTATGGTGATTCTCAGTCATCCAGGTTGTCCCAAAGGTACTTTTTCAAAAGGCAAATGGCCTTTGTTTTTCCTTGAAGATATTTTCCTTCTCATCCAAGAAGCTTCTTCAGTTCTGACTGAATGGTGTAGGATGGAAGGATTTATATTTATATAGTGTGCAGCTGCTGCCAAAAAAGCCAATGCAAACCTAAATTGCATTAATAGAGGGATTAGATCAGGTAAGTCACTAATACCACTCTATAAAGCCTTAGTAAGACCACACCTAGAAACGATGGACCAGGGGAGACATAATAGCAGTGTTCCAGTATTTGATGGGCTGCCACGGAGAGGAGGGGGCCAAGCTATTCTCCAAAGCATCTGAAGGTCAGATAAGGAATAATGGATGGAAACTAATCAAGGAGAGATTCAACCTTGAAATAAAGATAAATTTTCTGACAGTGAGAACAATCAACTAATGGAACAGCTTGCCTTCATCACTGGAGGCTTTCAAAAAGAGACTGAACTGCCATTTGTCAGAAATGATGTAGGGTCTCCTGCTTTCTCAGAGGATTGAACTAGATGACCTACAAGGTCCCTTCCAACTCTATTATTCTATATTCCTTGCAGTCATCCAGTTTACTAAGTGTTCCATACAGCCTCAATATAGCCTCCATCACACCTAAAAAGCCCTATATTTTCATTTTATTTATTATAATTTGTCAAACAGAAACAAAATAGGGATAATATAAAAGGGGGCGTGCACCAGCCTGTCTACCCTCCCTGTCCGACTGTTCCCATTTATGTACAGGTATATGTTTCTGTACTCATTTCATGTGTTTATGGCTATGATTTGCTTATTTATATCCATTTATGTGTGCCATATTTTCATGTGTCCATGTCTATACTGGTACTTGTTTCCTTGTACTTGTTGACAAAAAATAAAATAATTAAAATAAATAAAATAAAAATACAATGACAGGGATGTTAGCGGACTTAAGCACGCCCACTCCAAAGACCACTTAAGTAGGTGAAGTGAGGCCCATTTTTTGCATACAACTTTCACATACCAAAAAACAAAAAGCAAAAAAAAAAACCAACTCAGAGTTCTGTTTGTTCTTTGAAGATTAAAGTCTTTAAAAGCAATCCTACAGCGCTTGGCTAGAGGGGCTTCATTTCCTGTGCCGAGGATCCGAGAAGCAGTCCTGAAACCTAAAGGACTCTTCCCTCTCTTTTCAGGAGAGCAAAAGGGTCAAAGGACGAGAGAGAGAGAGAGAGAAAAGAACTGCTGCTAAGCGGCGTGGCTTCCCGGGGGTTTCCCCCTTCCCCGCCACGACAAAATCCAGCCTGGCGCTCGCCTGCCCCACAACCCAGCGGCAGCCGGAGCACCAGGCGCCGAGGGCAGTCGCTTTGGGGGAAGGTCCCGGGGCTGCCTCCACCCCCACCCCCGCAGATTCTTATACCTGAAGGTCCTCGGGTGAGATGGATTACTTCCTCCGACAGCAGATAGTCCACCCCTCCGTTCATGCTGCGCTCTCCTGCGGAGTCTCTGCCCCCGGCACCCTCTCGCTCCGCCAGGCGAGCACTTGAAGGTGAACCCGGCCAAGCCAAAGTCGAGGAGGGGGAGGCGGCTAAAGCGGCGGCAAGGCGGCCGCGGCACTTTCACTTTCATCAGCTTCGCAACCGGAAGAACGAGGGCGGCCCGCTAAGAATTCTGGGGCTTGTGGTCCTCTCCTTGCAGAGGCGGCTAGCCCAGCCGGTTTTGCTGAGCGCAGCGCGGTTACCACTATCGCATACTGGCTGCCTCCTAAATGCGGTAGTTATTATTTAGCGCCGGCTTCTACACAACTATATTTTAATTATAGTGTTTGAATTGCTTTGAGTCTTCTCCCAAAATGGCTTATTTTTGCATATTATGATAGTGAATTTGATCGCAACAGAATACCCTACTCCACCAGGCTTGAAATTTTGGGCTTGGAGAACTAACTACGCCGCTTATGGTCGGATTTAAGCGTGGTATAGAAAATTATCCGCTTCAACGTCTTAAGAACCGGTCAATGACCACTTCAGCTTCAACCACAATAATACAAGAGCACACAACAGATTCAAACTCAATGTAAACCGCTCCAAACTTGATTGCAGAAAATACTTCACCAAGAGTGGTCAATGCCTGGAATGCACTATCTGTCTCTGTTATTACATCTTCAAATCCGCAAAACTTTAACCTTAAACTTTCTACTAATGACCTCACCCCATTCCTAAGAGGTCTGTAAGGGGCGTGCATAAGTGCACTATCGTGCCTACCATCCCTGTCCTGCTGTCCCCATTTATTCGTACCCATTTCATTCATACTCATGTTTATTCTTATACCTATTATCTTATAAATGATTGACAAATAAAATAAATAAATAAAAAACAATCTGCATAGTCTTATCTTGTAGCATAGGTTTAAGTGCATTGGTAACTGTGGTTACTTGCATGATGATACTGTGTTACAGTCCTCATCTTTTGCACTTTATCTGAATGTTGGACGGAAGTATGTAAGTCACAGCATTTTGACATATTTTGTTATTTGCTCCCCCCTTCCCCCACTCCAGTCAATCATGATAAAACTGCAATTGCCAAATGGTTACATATAATATTATTCTGAGGCAACCAGAAATCAAAGTTGATTTTTTCCCCAGAGGACACACATACCTCTCTTATGAAGTTACCATTCCAAAGAAGATCATATGCCATGCTTCCTATCTCCTGAAGATTTGGAGGGAAAGAGACCTGTATAGTGCATCTCTAACAAAGGAAGGATTTAGTCTCTAAGTATCTCTATTATAGTAAGGGTTATCTAAATGGACCATTGTGGATAACTTTTTATAATGGTTATCTCAAGGTAATCCACCTTTCTAAGCAGGTTTCACAAGTCTTACAAGAAAATGAGGCTTGTGTAATTGAGCTTCTTTGGATATTTATTACCTCTCAGTGCTTTTGCAGTTAGAATAAAGACAGGGTATTTTTTTAAACCTGAGTTATGAGCTAATGTAAAAGAGCCAAAACATCAAGTCAGCCATAATCCAAAAACCAGTAGTAATAGCAGTCATAAGTTTAAAAGCAGTGTGTTAAATGTTGTGATAAAACATTGTTGGAAGATAGTGATGTGTGGTGAGGTTTATGGCTGGTGAGGCACTGACACAGTGGTGGGTTTCAATTTTTTTTAGACTTGTGGACTTCA